ACAGACTGGAAACTGTGTACACTGGAATCTGGTTCCTAAATTGTAGGCAGCAGATATTTCGTCTGATTTCGCAATTGAAAGAGATGGGTCTTACGCTGGACACTCGATGGAATGTCTGGCCCAGTCTGTAGACTCTAGGTCATGAATACGAGCAGTCTCTAGTTTGGTCCTACCACCTCCCTCCCCCTAACCAATCTCTCCTCTAACTCTGTCTGTCTGTCTGTCTGTCTGTCTGTCTGTCTGTCTGTCTGTCTGTCTGTCTGTCTGTCTGTCTGTCTGTCTGTCTGTCTGTCTGTCTGTCTGTCTGTCTGTCTGTCTGTCTGTCTGTCTGTCTCTCTCTCACTCTAGCTTTCCCTGTCTATATTGTTGTTTTTATTAACCACCACATGACCATCAGAAGCACATCAATCAGTAAAATGGCCCGCACCTGATCATTTCTATGAAAGAGATTGCAGTAGTTACAAAAGAGCTTCTTATGCGCGCACTTACATAGGTATAATCACTGGTACCTATAGCTAGGGCTGTACCGAATATTCCCTTCTTACTCGCTTCGGGGCCGAATAGTGAACCTAATAACTATTCGGTATTCGGCCGAATAATTGCGGTCGGACCGAATACGAATAGTGGTTACCTTACATCCGTTTCTGGACTGGTGGAAAATGAACATGTCAAGATTTCCCACCTTAGTTCATACTGTCTAGCGTTATCTGTGTGCACCAATACGAGCCTACTAAGTGAACGTCTGCGTAGTACAGCTGAAAATACCTTCAGTGAGACAAGAAGCTGCCTTAATGCTGACAGCATTGAACGATTTATTTTAAAGTTAATGCCGTTTTCATGCATTAACTTGTATGTATGTATGTATGTATGTATGTATATATGTATGTATGTATGTATGTATGTATGTATGTATGTATGTATGTATGTATGTATGTATGTATGTATGTATGTATGTATGTATGTATGTCTGTCTGTCTGTCTGTCTGTCTGTCTGTCTGTCTGTCTGTCTGTCTGTCTGTCTGTCTGTCTGTCTGTCTGTCTGTCTGTCTGTCTGTCTGTCTGTCTGTCTGTCTGTCTGTCTGTCTGTCTGTCTGTCTGTCTGTCTGTCTGTCTGTCTGTCTGTCTGTCTGTCTGTCTGTCTGTCTGTCTGTCTGTCTGTCTGTCTGTCTGTCTGTCTGTCTGTCTGTCTGTCTGTCTGTCTGTCTGTCTGTCTGTCTGTCTGTCTGTCTGTCTGTCTGTCTGTCTGTCTGTCTGTCTGTCTGTCTGTCTGTCTGTCTGTCTGTCTGTCTGTCTGTCTGTCTGTCTGTCTGTCTGTCTGTATGTATGTCTGTATGTATGTATGTATGTATGTATGTATGTATGTATGTATGTATGTATGTATGTATGTATGTATGTATTATGTAATATGTGTATGTGTATATATGAGCATGTAAGAGTATGTCTACGAGCGTGTGTGTTTAAGTGTCTATGACTGTGTACACATGTTGTGTGTATGTATTAATTCATAATGTATATATATTTTCTTTATGAACATAACATACATTATTGATAACAGGCAATGGTTCTCTGGAAGATGAGTGCTTAAAGGGCCGAATGTCAAACGGGCCTGCGTGCCCAATTTGTAGCTCTTTAAAAATAAAATTTGTTCTTTGGTTCAGAGTTTATTCTTCCATTTCATTCTGTCTTGTGCAATCAATCCATTACTGTCAAGGGTCAGTGTGGCTATGGGACGACTGTACACGATGATAGTGAATGACGGACGAGCACTTGACCACTTAGCGACTTCGCCATCAACGGCCCACTGAGTTTCCAACAAGGAAATGGAATGAAGACCACAGGATTGACCGTGAGTTGAACATCGGCGACCGGTCAAAACGGACGAGTGAGGGGTTTTCGGTGAGTTGCTGAATGACAAGACGTGTTGTGGTAGCGACCGTTGGTTTGTGATAACGTTTTAGCTTGATGGCATTATAGCTCAAGTGTTAGTAAGCAATAATGTCGGCTTTAAAGAGAGATAGTGCATTGTGTTTATAGTGTTCCCCCCTCCACTCCGGTACTTAGATGTGTCTTAGCGAGTGGTTAGCGACAAGGTGTTTATCAGTAAAGAAGACGACGAGAATGAGTTCATGGTCCCAGTACCCAGGACACTCGGTCTGTCCAATCAGACTTTCCAGAGCTGCGAAGTAGCACAGCAGTCACAGTGTATGGTGCAGTGGTGTAGGAAAGAGCTGGGATCAGAGGCTGTTGGTTCGGATCCGGTTAATGCATGGGAACAACTGGAAAGTCAATGTGTGAGTGGCGAAAGTAAAGCTTGCCGGCCGGTTGGGGTAGTGTTTGCGAGCCACATTTGGGGCAAGCCATATCTGGGACAAGCCACATCTGGGGCGCCCAGCCATATCTAGAGCGAGCAGCCACATCTGGGGCGAGGAGCCACATCTAGGGCGAGCCACATCTTGGGCGAGTAGCTACATCTGGGGCGAGCAGCCACATCTTAGGCGAGTAGCCACATCTGGGGGCGAGTAGCCACATTTTAGGCGAGCCAAATCTGGGGCAAGCCACATCTTTGGCGAGCAGCCACATCTGGGGGCGAGCAGCCACATCTTGGGTGAGCCACATCTGGGGCGAGCAGCCACATCTGGGGCAAACCACATCTGGGGCGAGCAGCCACATCTGGGGCGAGCAGCCACATCTTGGGCGAGCCACATCTGGGGCGAGCAGCCACATCTGGGGCGAGCTACATCTGGGGCGAGTAGCCACATCTGGGGCGAGTAGCCACATCTAGGGCGAGTAGCCACATCTGGGGCAAGCCACATCTTCGGCAAGCCACATCTGAGTCGAACTGGCGATCGCTTATTGTAAATTGTATCAGAGGCTGATGTGTAGGTATTGACGGTGTTGGGTTAGATGTGTGTGAGATAGACACCTTTCTCATGGAGCTGCCATAGAGCTATTAGCCTTGAAGGTGATAAGCAACACACTAACAAATATAATATATATAATCTTATCCAACACCTTTGACCTCTCTCACCAACATTCGCTTTAGGGTTTCATTTCGATGTCTTCGCTTCTTCAACCCCTCAATTTTCTCATTTCACGACCACTTTGAGGATTCTCTACTTTTTGTTTTCAGGATGTGTCCAGTATGGTTGCATCGTCTCTGTCTTATAACTGTTGATACCAGTGCTTTCCCACACATGTCTCTTATTTCTTCACCTCTCTTGAATCATCATCCCATTTATGTTGATCATTCCATCGATGTTCATCATCCCATTGATGTTCATCATTCCATTGATGTTCATCATTCCATTGATGTTCATCATTCTATTGATGTTCATCATTCCATTGATGTTCATCATTCAATTGATGTTCATCATTCCATTGATGTTCATCATTCCATGATGTTCATCATTCCATTGATGTTCATCATTCCATTGATGTTCATCATTCATTGATGTTCATCATCCAAATTTGACATTTGTGTTTGGTTTCTACGATTACGATTACGAGAAGCAGCAGAGGCTAACTGATCAGCCTTTCCTCACCCCAAACACACAGAAGCTCACACAGAGCTCTTGTCAATAAATTATGATGTGAGGCGGATATCCTCATTTTACTTCAGCAATGGGAAAATGATTTCTTACAGGCGCTATTTACAATTTATTGAAGTACGCTCTGTGAAATCTGTTATAATGGCAAAATATCTGACAGTGTTAGGTCTAAGTATGTAAACCAGACGAGTAAAAGGTCAGTCTGAAATATTGTTAAACGAGATGTCAATGTTACAACCAACATCTACCGAGTCGATCGGGTGGCTGAAGGCTAAACTTGTGGACTGACAACAACAGCACTGAATAACACCGTCTAAACAAACAAACGTGCCCGCTGATCCCTGAACATGTTAAAGAACTCCAATTATTAAAGGCCAACAAACAGCTAAGTTAAAAATTTGAACAACGGACCAACATCATGGCACAGGGCTAGTAACCCGTAAATGCTCCGTTCTTATTTTAACTAAAGTCTGAGTCCGAAGAAGCTCAGCACATTGCACACTCTGTAGCACAGGCGATGATCCTGAAATACTTTGGGTAGATTTTAAACTCACAACTTTTCCCGAGCAGCGCCTTTAGACTACTCTTTTCAATTTCCGACTGCCAATGGATTTTTTCAAGTGGGCAGCAATGCACACGGGCGTCCGGTCTCAATACCCAGAGACCTGGAGGAATTACTAAAAGTCCAGCCCTTACCAAGGATAAAAAACAAAAAAATCTTGCTGATGTAGGGTCGGCTTTAAGGATAGAGAGATGCCTTGAGAAGAATGTTTTTATGGCGGATGTTGTAAGGGTTGTAGGTGAGTATGAGAGTAGGTCTGTTGTGGTGACGTTTAGGCTTGAAGACAAGAGCCTCAACAGGATGAATAGACCGTGCTCGGTGAAGGGCAGCAGATACGACATGTTCGGATACCCTCAGACCTGGCGGAAGTCCAACATTTCTAGGGCCTTGTGGTGATTGTCGTCGCTCTCCTGGCATAGTATGGGCAGACGTAGAAGCTGGGAGAAAGGAATGGAGTCTTTGCGGGAAGAGGGATGAGATGACGTGTACTAAAGGAAAGCGCGGGAATCAGTAGGCTTATAGTATACTGAGGTGCTGTTTGAACTGGGACGTCTAACCATCGGTCTCCAAGGCAGAGTGGACCCAGCCCCACCACGTCTGATCTACTGACCTAGAAAGTCTCTTATCACTACACACAAGGATAGGTTGATTTGTGTGTGTGTGTGTGTGTGTGGCAACGTAAGACAAACCCAAGGACTGCGATATGCACACGATAACATTTGCAACATACGCTTTTTTGGGAAGGGGTGAAACGAAAAAAAAAGGCGGGGGGGGGGGGGGGGGGGGGGGTAGATAGGAACGCACCAGCAACAACGTGCAGCACAACAGTTCAGTAGGCAGGAAGTTTCTTGGTGAATGTGTGTTCTGGATATTTACGCGAGTTTCAAACCATGAACAGGAGCGCCCGGTTACATGGAAAAGGTGACCTGAGAGTGGTGAGTCAGCAATTGACATGTGTGTTGGTAACTTCTTCTTCTTGTGCCTAGCCTAGAGCAGGTGACTTCAGAGTGGTAAGTCAGTGACTGACAAGTCTGTTGTAAACGTCATCTTCTGGCTCCTGGCCTAGAGCAGGTGACTTCAGAGTGGTAAGTCAGTGACTGACAAGTCTGTTGTAAACGTCATCTTCTGGCTCCTGGCCTAGAGCAGGTGACTTCATAGTAGTAAGTCAGTGACTGACAAGTCTGTTGTAAACGTCATCTTCTGGCTCCTGGCTTAAAGAAGGTGACATCAGAGTGGTAAGTCAGTGACTGACAAGTCTGTTGTAAACGTTATCTTCTGGCTCCTGGCCTAGAGCAGGTGACTTCAGAGTGGTAAGTCAGTGACTGAAAAGTCTGTTGTAAACGTCATCTTCTGGCTCCTGGCCTAAAGAAGGTGACTACAGAGTGGTAAGTCAGTGATTGACAAGTCTGTTGTAAACGTCATCTTTTGGCTCCTGGCTTAAAGAAGGTGACTTCAGAGTGGTAAGTCAGTCACTGACAAGTCTGTTGTAAACGTCATCTTCTGGCTCCTGGCCTAGAGAAGTTGACTTCAGAGTGGTAAGTCAGTGATTGACAAAGCTGTTGTAAACGTCATCTTCTGGCTCCTGGCTTAAATAAGGTGACTTCAGAGTGGTAAGTCAGTCACTGACAAGTCTGTTGTAAACGTCATCTTCTGGCTACTGGCCTAGAGCAGATGACTTCAGAGTGGTAAGTCGGTGACTGACAAGTCTGTTGTAAACGTCATCTTCTGGCTCCTGGCCTAGAGCAGGTGACATCAGAGTGGTAAGTCAGTGACTGACAAGTCTGTTGTAAACGTCATCTTCTGGCTCCTGGAGTAGAGCAGGTGACTTCATAGTGGTAAGTCAGTGACTGACAAGTCTGTTGTAAACGTCATCTTCTGGCTCCTGGCTTAAAGAAGGTGACATCAGAGTGGTAAGTCAGTGACTGACAAGTCTGTTGTAAACGTTATCTTCTGGCTCCTGGCCTAGAGCAGATGACTTCAGAGTGGTAAGTCAGTGACTGACAAGTCTGTTGTAAACGTCATCTTCTGGCTCCTGGCCTAGAGCAGGTGACTTCAGAGTGGTAAGTCAGTGACTGACAAGTCTGTTGTAAACGTCATCTTCTGGCTCCTGGCCTAGAGTAGGTGACTTCAGAGTGGTAAGTCATTGACTGACAAGTCTGTTGTAAACATCATCTTCTGGCTCCTGGCCTAAAGAAGGTGACTTCAGAGTGGTAAGTCAGTGACTGACAAGTCTGTTGTAAACATCATCTTCTGGCTCCTGGCCTAGAGCAGGTGACTTCAGAGTGGTAAGTCAGTGATTGACAAGTCTGTTGTAAACGTCATCTTCTGGCTCCTGGCCTAGAGCAGGTGACATCAGAGTGGTAAGTCAGTGACTGACAAGTCTGTTGTAAACGTCATCTTCTGGCTCCTGGCCTAGAGCAGGTGACTTCAGAGTGGTAAGTCAGTGACTGACAAGTCTGTTGTAAACGTCATCTTCTGGCTCCTGGCCTAAAGAAGGTGACTATAGAGTGGTAAGTCAGTGACTGACAAGTCTGTTTGTAAACGTCATCTTCTGGCTCCTGGCCTAAAGAAGGTGACTTCAGAGTGGTAAGTCAGTGACTGACAAGTCTGTTGTAAACGTCATCTTCTGGCTCCTGGCCTAAAGAAGGTGACATCAGAGTGGTAAGTCAGTGACTGATAAGTCTGTTGTAAACGTCATCTTCTGGCTCCTGGCCTAGAGAAGTTGATTTCAGAGTGGTAAGTCAGTGACTGACAAGTCTGTTGTAAACGTCATCTTCTGGCTCCTGGCCTAGAGAAGATGACTTCAGAGTGGTAAGTCAGTGACTGACAAGTCTGTTGTAAACGTCATCTTCTGAAGCCTGGTCTAGAGCAGGTGTTTTTAGGATTTCTTCTAGAACCTGTATGATGAGTTTGTTTTTATTACTCATATCTCCATTTGTCTCTCTAGGCCTGCCTCTCTAGGCCTGTCTCCCTAGCCCTGTCTCCATTTGTCTCTCTAGGCCTGTCTCTCTAGCCCTGTCTACATTTGTCTGTCTAGTCCTGTCTCTAGGCCTGTCTCTCTAGCCCTGTCTCTCTAGGCCTGTCTCCATTTGTCTCTCTAGGCCTGCCTCTCTAGCCCTGCCTCTCTAGGCCTGTCTCTCTAGCTCTGTCTCCATTTGTCTCTCTAGGCCTGCCTCTCTAGCCTTGCCTCTCTAGGCCTGTCTCTCTAGGCCTGTCTCCATTTGTCTCTCTAGGCCTGCCTCTCTAGCCCTGCCTCTCTAGGCCTTTCTCCCTAGCTCTGTCACCATTTGTCTCTCTTGGCCTGCCTCTCTAGCCGCCATGTCTCTCTAGTCCTGTCTCTCTAGCCCTGTCTCTTTAGGAATGCCTCTTTAGCCCTGTCTCTCTAGCCCTGTCTCTCTAGCCCTGTCTCTCTAGCCCTGTCTCTCTAGCCCTGTCTCTCTAGCTCTGGCACTCTAGCCCTGTCTCTCTAGGAATGCCTCTCTAGCCCTGTCTCTTTCTAGTCCTGTCTCTCTAGCCCTGTCTCTCTATCACTGTCTCTCTAGCCCTGTCTCTCTAGGAATGCCTCTCTAGCCCTGTCTCTCTAGGAATGCATCTCTAGCCCTGTCTCTCTAGGAATGCCTCTCTAGCCCCGTCTCTCTAGGAATGCCTCTCTAGCCCTGTCTCTCTAGGAATGCCTCTCTAACCCTGTCTCTCTAGCTCTGTCTCTTTTGGAATGCCTCTCTAGCCCTGTCTCTTTAGGAATGCCTCTCTAGCCCCGTCTCTCTAGGAATGCCTCTCTAGCCCTGTCTCTCTAAGAATACCTCTCTAGCCCTGTCTCTCTAGCCCTGTCTCTCTAGGAATGCCTCTCTAGCCCTGTCTCTCTAGCCCTGTCTCTCTAGGAATGCCTCTCTAGCCCTGTCTCTTTAGGAATGTCTCTCTAGCCCTGTCTCTCTAGGAATGCTTCTCTAGCCCTGTCTCTCTAGGAATGCCTCTCTAGCCCTGTCTCTCTAGGAATGACTCTCTAGCCTTGTCTCTCTAGGAATGCCTCTCTAGCCCTGTCTCTCTAGGAATGCCTCTCTAGCCCTGTCTCTCTAGGAATGCCTCTCTAGCCCTGTCTCTTTAGGAATGCCTCTCTAGCACTATCTCTCTAGGCCTGCCTCTCTAGCCCTGTCTCTCTAGGAATGCCTCTCTAGCCCTGTCTCTCTAGGAATGCCTCTCTAGCCCTGTCTCTCTAGGAATGCCTCTCTAGCCCTGTCTCTCTAGGAATGCCTCTCTAGCCCTGTCTCTCTAGGAATGCCTCTCTAGCCCTGTCTCTCTAGGAATGCCTCTCTAGCCCTGTCTCTCTAGGAATGCTTCTCTAGCCCTGCCTCTCTAGGAATGCCTCTCTAGCCCTGTCTCTCTAGTCCTGTCTCTCTAGCCCTGTCTCTCTAGCTCTGTCTCTCTAGCCCTGTCTCCATTTGTCTCTCTAGCCCTGTCTCTCTAGCCCTGTCTCTCTAGCTCTGCCTCTCTAGCCCTGTCTCTCTAGCTCTGCCTCTCTAGCCCTGTCTCTCTAGCTCTGTCTCTCTAGCTCTGCCTCTCTAGCCCTGTCTCTCTAGCCCTGTCTCTCTAGCCCTGTCTCTCTAGCCCTGTCTCTCTAGCTCTGCCTCTCTAGCCCTGTCTCTCTAGCCCTGTCTCTCTAGCCCTGTCTCTCTAGCCCTGTCTCTCTAGCCCTGTCTCTCTAGCCCTGTCTCTCTAGCTCTGCCTCTCTAGCCCTGTCTCTCTAGCTCTGTCTCTCTAGCCCTGTCTTCATTTGTCTCTCTAGCCCTGTCTCTCTAGCCCTGTCTCTCTATGAATGCCTCTCTAGCCCTGTCTCTCTAGCCCTGTCTCTCTAGCTCTGTCTCTCTAGCTCTGCCTCTCTAGCTCTGCCTCTCTAGCCCTGTCTCTCTAGCCCTGTCTCTCTAGCTCTGCCTCTCTAGCCCTGTCTCTCTAGCTCTGTCTCTCTAGCTCTGCCTCTCTAGCCCTGTCTCTCTAGCCCTGTCTCTCTAGCCCTGTCTCTCTAGCCCTGTCTCTCTAGCTCTGCCTCTCTAGCCCTGTCTCTCTAGCTCTGTCTCTCTAACCCTGTCTCCATTTGTCTCTCTAGCCCTGTCTCTCTAGCCCTGTCTCTCTATGAATGCCTCTCTAGCCCTGTCTCTCTAGCCCTGTCGCTCTAGCTCTGTCTCTAGCCCCGACAACATCAAGAAATGGACAGGACTAAGTTATCATACACTTATTCATCAACCGGAAGACAAAGGTTGCAGGTTTTATGTGCTAGTGCTTCCATCAATACACCTCCGCCACCGTAAGTGGTCAAGGGTTATGTTATGGTTTGTCAAGACCAGTAAGAGTCCATGAAAATATATAGTGTTTTATTTGTTTTTACGACCAGCACAATTATATGAAAATATATAGTAGGCTTAAAAAAAACCATAATAAAGAGCTGGTTTACATGGGACGTGGTGTGCGTTAGTCGATGGCCTATGCTCCACCGGGACCGAACGTGGTAAGAAAAGCATTAGCCCTTCAAGACACCTTTTCGACCCCACATTTCCTAAATGTGTCTGGCCGATCCATCCTGTAGCCGTTGATAACACGAGGTAGTATTTCTGTAGCCGCCATAGTGACTCCATCAATCTATGACTTGTCCCTTGTCTGAAACTATAAGACCAGTTGTTGCGTGGCATTGCGATCAGTGTAATTATGGGCCCCAGTATCTGACGGTCGAGCCATTTATCACGTCCCTTGGCTGCGTGATCTAAGCACGGCCACTTCCACTACGGACCCCCAGTCTTCTTGTCTCCCTCTCTTGATTTGTATGCCAATGGACAGCATTTATCAGTAGCTTGTGTGACTGGAAAATACAGCCTGACATATCGCCCCAAACCGTTGATTGATATTTAATTAATTTAATTTGATTCAACACGGGTAAGAGTTTTAAACCCCTACCGTAGATCACATATCCCTACTGTAATGATGCCATAAATAGGGATAACGTCAGGGTATGACTGGCATAATTGGGTAAGTCCATGAAAGGATGGGTTTCACGGAGATATGGTGAAAAGACAAGAGAGAGTGAGTCACGTGTGAATGCGAGATCTGGGGGATTGATAATGAGGTGGTCATTGGGTGACTGGGCCCCAGACTGGAAGGATGTGAAGCTGAATCTGTGAAGGTGAATCCAGAGAGGTGCACACGTGGATCTGAATCAGAGTCGAGTGAATGTTGGTGCTGAACGACTAGACAGGCATCGCTATTGAATGATCGTTTAGGCCAGCAGTTGTGTTTCACGGTGTGTTTCTTGAGCCAGCCATGTACATGCCAGTGTCCATCGTCTGAAGCATGGCTAGAGACTCAATGCGTGAGCAAGGCGAGATTGCCCGAATGGCGTAAGTTAGGTCATCTGTTGATTCGTGACGCTTGTGTTACATTGACAATAAACCTGTAAAATGCGTCAGCTGTTGTCGACCGTCATTCAAAGTTGTGTGGCCATGGAGAGAAGTGCCGTCTGGCTAGAATGAATTATGACCTAACACCTA